CAGCGGAACAAAGTGCATTAGTCGACTTGCTGACGATGCGCTTGTTTGCAGGTCTCACAGTCATATACCCAGCATTTATTTTGGACTGTGATGGAGATGAAGATGCTATAAAATTTTCTCACACACTAAGATCAGGTGCAGTTGAAGAGATTGTCTTATTGAAGACAATGGTATGTGATCCACTGACTGTTCCTGAGAGTCCTGGTTCATAGTTGGGTTTCTTTTTAAAGCAACAGTGCACCTGGATTAATAGAAGACTACAACCACATTTTGACATCTTGCACAGTGTAGGTGAGGACCCAAGTAACTAAGAAAGAAACGTGGACCGACGCTGTCAGAGTGTCTTGATCAAGCGTCTTGATGGTGGGTTTGATCAGAAACATCTTAAAAGTGCCCCTTCTTTTGGCAGTGGTAAAATCAGTCATGTAGAAAACCACACGTTGCTTTACCATCTGCTGGCCTGGCGCAGTCCCTCGGCCGTTGATCCATCATGGCAGGAATCTGTGAACAGGAGCTGGAAATATAAATTCCTCCAGAGGCACGTGGTGTCTCTGACACTATGGCTTGAGAGCCAGATAGCCGGACTGTGCTTGTGGGCCATTACCCAAACTCCCGCCAGAGGTGTGAAGTGAGCAGCCTTACAATGGCACCCTTTAGTTCACTGTTTTTATGTTTTTAATCAACAGTTCTGGTGCTGATGGTGCAAGCTATCTAACATTCTCCAATACAGATCCTTTGAGGTCCTTGAAGATGTCTGAACTGAGCACATGAAGCAAGATGACAAAATAGTTGCCATTGTCCTGCAGGGATACTACTTGCTTGGTTGCCACTAACCTTGGTCTACCCAGGGGGTATATTTGAGCAAGTCAGCTTCATAGGAATGTGCAAATTCTTATATATACAATCTACATTATGTAGACAGTCTGTGTTTCTGATTGACTGTCATCTTTCTAACAGGACCATTTTCTTAACCTGCCCATGTTTGTATCCATCACGGAACTGGTATTTGCAAAGGAGAATCTGTAAAAAAAAAAAAAAAAAAAGGCTACAATGGCTTACCATGAGTGCTGTTTTGAGAAATAAAGGAAATTGCAGACATGCCAAAAGATATAAAGCCAGGTTTACACTGTACAATTTTCAGTCAATGTTGCTGTAGCTGATGAAAATCACACATCCTAAAAGAATTCTTTGGCCATCAGTTTAGTGCCATTGAAACCAAAGTCAACACCGTCAACAATAAAGTTCTGGAAGTGTTAAAATCATAGAGTGTGATCGATGCTACAAATCTCGTCTAAAACCACCAACAGGAAGATGGCATAGGATGACATGAAACTCATGGGACAACTACAGAAACTTTAATGGCGATGACAAAGCATAAACAAAACATGGTAATGGACAAAAAAATAATCCTTATTACCTTAAGCTCACCTTGAATGATGTTTCTGTATATGCAACTCCATTTTCTGCACGAGCTCAGATCACGCTGATTGGTGATGTAAGCAGAACGTGGTTATTTCGTTACAGGTCTATCTTTGGAGGATCTTCATCGTATAATCTGAGTTGAAGAACAAATGTGCCTTCGTGAAGTATGGTATAGAATTCAGGGGAATATTTTAGTGGTATCATCTTGTACAGTGCAGTAATCTTGCTTAAATCGCACAGGCTTAAAGCAAACGCTAAAAGGTCAAACTAGGTTCCATTTGGAGGAGCTCCCTCTAGTGGCTCATCCTGTAAAAGCACCAATTCAAGAAAGGAAGTGATCTATACCTCCTTTTAGGATTCATGTTCAGATTCTGCCTGTCTCTCTTGTACTAGGTGTAATTAAAGGTCTTCAAAAACATAAGCCACCTTCTAATTGGAAGTACAGCCTTCTGTTCTTTGCTAACCATTTGGGATTTGGTTGATTAGCAGTCCTCTGCAAACATGCTAAAGATCAGGGTTTTTCAACTCTAGTCCTATAGATTAACTGCCCTACCCAGGTTTAACGTCGTTTCCTAACTACCAACACATCTGGCTTAACACATGAAAAGCTATATAATTTGCTTGTGAGCTAGATCAGGTTTTAGAAAATGTTGAAATCGTGCAAGATCTGGAAGTGTCTCTCTGACACCATGGCCTGAGAGCCAGATAGCCAACAGGACTAGAGTTGAGACCACTGCAGAAGCCTGTGACTTAAGCTAGCGGAAAAGTTAGCATAAAAAACAACAGTTCCTGCTTATTAGTGCTTCTGTTCTCTACCTGGTCTGGTTTCTGTCTTTCGTCTTCCTCATTAACATGCTCCATATCATTAGTTCTATGTTTAAATAATCAATTTTCTTTTTTACCCTATGGGAATCTTCCCTGCATGAGGATAGTTTCCAGTGTCCTTCTGTATACCTCATTAGCATTATCATTGATATGACTGCAGATTAGAATCATATTAAAGCACCAGCATAATAATAAACAGACCAGGCCAGATGACAGGAAGGATGTTATTTTGTGGCATTATTAGGTTTGTCTTGACTGGAGGAGAGTCAATATTTTGTCTCTGATTGTTGCCAGGTTATTGAGCCAATTGCTGATGCTTCTGACAGCCAGGCGCTGTTATTAGAATTCAGTCTGCTGCCCCATATACACAACTGCACCAGATTTCAATTTTACACACACACACACACACACACACACACACATCCTTGTCTTCCTGTCCTTGTTAGGACCTATTAATACAGCTAATTAATGCTATACCTACACCTTAACTCTAACCTTTGCCTTGGAAACCGTTTGGCTCTTTTAGTTTTTTCAGATAAAAGCATAAATAAAAAGCTGTTTTCCTTGTGGGGACCAGCCAAATGTCCCCATAAGGTCAAAACTGTCATGTGAGGATATTTTGTCCCTACCAAGATATAAAAACATGCTTACACACACACACACACACAGAACCCAGTTTTCTGCCACTGACCGGGCCTTGATATACTAGGTCAGACTTTTTCCCCACACAAACAGCTAGATTTATTTTAACAGAATGTAACAGAACCTTTTACACTAACCACTTTAACACAGATAAACATTTTGAGCATTTTGCCCATTTTCACCAGGTTTAGTCATTGCCAAGTCCCAGCCATTAGCTAGTTCTCCTCTATCACATGACATTACCAAACTGAAAAACTTACCCAGCCACTCCATCTTTTCAAACTGCTACACAAGGAACGTCATAGGGCAATTCTACCTGTCCAGCTGGATTAATGGAAGAGGGTGCTAGCTGCAGTCTTGTTTATGCATGAGCTCACAGATGCCCACAATTGGCTAATGTGGTTCTGACTGACCGGAGAGAGAACGTGCCATGTTAAATGTTATTATAATGGATAAAAGAAATATTATAATAAATTAAAAATTTATAATTGTTTACAAATATTGTGGTATGATGAACAAAAAACTGAGAACATTCTGTTATTGGAAACGAATCAACTTTGGGGTGGTAACAGTAACTCCACTTCTCATTGAGCCGCATCACACCATCCTGTCTTGGATTATTTTCCTATAACAGCGTGCCTGCTTGTGTTTTATTCCTTACATAAACAACATACACATTATAATAATTGCTTTCACGCTTTCACTAGCCCTGTGTTCCATTCAGTAGTAGGTTGCCTAGCAAGGCAGAATATTTGTGCAGCATTTGTTCTCCTGAGACAGAGTCAGACCCTGTGTAAATTCAGGGTGGGAGGGTGGCATGAATCTTTCTTAGAGAAGGCCATCCCATGATCAAATGAAAGTTCCACAGAAAGTTAAAAAAAAAAAGTATAGAAACAGAACTTAGGCTTTAAAAAATGTAAAAGGTTACTTTACCATTTTACGCTATTTTATGAAATAGCTTAAAAGTTTAAAATAGCACTTCAAACAGTATGCATATTGAAAGCAGGGGCAAGTGTCGATGTAGAAATAACAGAACAACACAGCAGGGTTCACCAATGCTGCTTGACATTGCCATAGCAACACTGGCATGGGTGCGGAGCCCAATAAAAAGCTTGTGTAAGTCATCGTGGTTTGATGTGATAGAGGCGCTATTTTGGGCAAGGAGAAAATATGAGATGAAACGGATGTCGGATGTCTCCTTTCAGGAGCTGAGAACGACTCATAAACATCTGTGAGTCAGCATTAATGGAATGTGGTTTATGAATTTGGCCAGAGGAGGGACTACAAGGAAGCCGATCAGGTCTGATGAGCACTTAGGCATTCGTCCATTAGGAAGTCTTTTATGTGAGGGAAAGACTACTTCTGGAAAAAAAAAAAAAACTGTCCAACTGGATTTAACTTGATGAATAATGTAACAGGTTTAGCGGGACTTGGTCCGGAGTGAAAGAGCTTCTTGTTTTCAGGCCTCTTCATTAACACATTTGAGAAAGAGAGAGAATGCATGCTGGCCGCTGTTGTCACAGTTACCCAACACTTTGGCTGTGATTGTGTGATTTTTGTCTGCTGTTATGCAACCAAACTAATCAACCCCTCAAGAGCTGCTGAATCATTCTCACACCATCACAGTCAAATGGTTGACTGCCAATAAATTACAGAAAAAACCCTAGAACATTTAGAACCATATTGAATACGTAGTCAGTATGATGAGATAATCTTATTGATCCCTAACAGGAAATTCATTTGTTGCAGCAAAAAAAAAAAAAAAAAAAAAAAAAAAAAAAAAAAAAAAAAAAAAAAAAAAAAAAAAAAAAAAAAAAAAAAAAAAAAAAAAAAAAAAAAAAAAAGACAACAAAGAATAGAATGACAAAAGCACTCAGTAGCCACTTTATGATAGCATACCTAGCTTATACCTACACTGTAATAAATTATTGTAAATTTTGGTTGCCAGTAAAGTTTTTACTGAAGTATTTTACTGTAAATATATTTACAGTAAAATACTGTAGTATCTTAGTGTTGTATAAAATGACACATAACCCAGCACACTTGCTCTTTTGGCTGATGCAGGATACGAATGAGTTGAAGGTTATAGGTCTTGCCCAACCATGACAGCTTGGTAGTAGTGGGATTTGAACACACAACCTTCTGAGCTGTGAGTCAAAGCCTTAACCACTGAGCCACCACAACTACACTACAATGCCACCCAAACCAGCTTGCACTGATTCAACTACTTCTAGCACTGAATTAACGCCACTAAAAGATTGCAGTGAATCAGTGCAAGCTAGTTGTGCTAGTTGTGCTAGCTGTGGTAGCTCAGTGGTTACAGCTTCGAGTTACAGATAAGAAGGTCATGTTTTCAAATCCCAGCACCACCAAACTGCCTTGATTGGATCCTTGAGCAAGACCCTTCTGCTCAGCTGTATCCTGCATCAACATGCTGGGTTATGTTATTTTATACTATGTATGATATTACTATAAATATGTTTTACAGTTGTTTACCGTATATTTTACAATACTTTATTGGCAACCCAGGTTACCAGTAAATTACTGTAAAATCTACAGTAAATCTTATACAGTGTAAACTTATTGACTCTTCAATCGGATAAACCTATGACATAGATGCACTTTTTAAGCAAAGCCTGACTGTAGTCATCTGTGATTGGCAAAGCTCCTGTCAATTCTGATCATATTATGCTGCAACAGACATTAGAGAGTAACACTCACAAAAATCACAGAAGCCAAAAACTGTTACTCTCTAAAGCAATAAGAAAGAAAGAAAGAAGAGGTAGCATCATAATTTAATCACAAACATTAATGGTCCAAATGTATTTTTATTCATTTACTCACAGTAATAATTAATAAAAAATAAAAATTATAATTTTTATAAATTAAAAAAATAAATAAATAAATAAAACTAAATTTATAAATAAAAATAAAAAAATTCATTAAAAAAAATCATAATTTCATCATAGAATTTAATGTTTCAGATTAATTTAAATTCCTTTACTCACAGTAATCTCTTTTATTCATTTACTTACAGAAATATTTTTTATGTTTAGCTCAATTTTATTTTTATTGTATTTATTCAGCTCCTGTTCCTGTTTCAAAAAAGAAAGAGTAATTTACCTAGAAAGCTATCAATAGACTTTCATTAGGCGACTAAAAGTAGATCTTGTGATCATTCCTCCATATAGCTTGTATACATCGGAACAAAATGTCGGTTCTCCAGGACCGTGGTGCAACAATTAACAGTACACAAGACTACATAAAGTGTGTAAACATTACTACATAATCAAAAATACATCATTATGAGCATTCGGGTATGTTCATAGTATTTGAATAGTGATAACTTTTTTGACAGCCCTAGTGTAAAGGGAAACACTTTTCTATTGAGTTAAAAGTCCATAAATTTATTTACGCTTAATCACTGTTGACTGCTTTGCTGGTTTGTTTCTCACTGCTGCTGTCTGTTAGAAATAATTTTATGTGATTTTTCTGTCAAGTCTGCTTAAGAATAAGTGCATTATGAAGTGTGAATGTGTGTGTGTGCATGCTGTAGCATGGTGAAATAGCACAATGCTAATCTTTGGCTGTGTGAATAGGTGAAATGACCTGCAATGAATCACACCCTGTTGAGTCCATTCAGCTAGGTTGATTAGCATTAGCAGGCTGGGTTGTTGTTTTCTGTTGAATAGGCATCCTGCTAAGTGATGGAGCTGTTCAGGCCTACATGACTTCACACACACACACACACACACACACACTTGACATGCACACACTACTGGAGTTAGTTTATCCCCATTTACTTAATAAGGTGCATATTGTATAAGTAATGTGTATTAAATGGGGAATGTGTTCATTTTGGATGCAGAGAGATAAATCTGATGTTGTAATGGGATGCTCTGAAGCAGCCTGTCTAATCTCAGGTATTTGTCTGTTGCTATGGTGATTTCAGGTTGCTCTCCAAGATGGCTGGCATGAAGGAACAGCAATTCATCGAGGAGAAGCCGCTACTTCCAGAAACCAGAGGCCAGGACACAGAAATGGTGAGTGTGTGTGTGTGTGTTCCTGCTACATTCGATGCATCTAAATATAGTGGATGAGGTAGAGATTTGGGTGTCCTCATTTTGTGTGCGTGGATGATTTTGTATCTCTCTGAACCCACATAGCGCTCCATTTCAGTTTCAGCGTATAGAGGTTACTAACAGGATCTGAAAAGCATGAAATGCGGGGGCAAGAACAGCGTCATTTAAAATAATGGTGTTGAAAATAACACCTTTATAAAAACCTGTTTTTACGGCTTGGAACATTCTGTTACTTGAGCACATAAACTGTGTTGGATTCCAAGCCACATACAGTGAATGACGTAAAACAGCAACTAATTAAAGCTGTGTTTGATTGCTGAAGTGTTTCTACACCTGTAATAATCATATAATTAAAAAAAACCTTTGAACTGTGATTTGAAATATTGCCATGCAATGGGTCTGGCTAGGGTTTTTTGTTGTTGTTGTTTCAGGCTTCTGGAAATTTACAAAAGGAAATATTATCCAAAATATGACTGTTAGCTGCAATAGAAACAATTCACTTATATTTGTAAATGTACCCCTCGGTCAGAGAGTGACCGCTTGGTCCACCATGTTTGTTAAAACAGAATTTTGCTTTGCCTACATTGTCTCCTGCCCTCAAATTCGGCCAAAGTAAAGTACGAGGTACAAACGCTCATAGCGTCCAGTCTATCGTCATGCAAACTGCATGTCTGAATCACCACTGTGAATTTAACCCATACTGCAGCACTAAGGTACAGGCAAAAAGGGTCAAAACCACAAACACTAGGAACTGGGCTTGATCCCGACAAAGAAGCCACATAGACTATAGAGTATAGAGTACAATAGATTATATAGATTATTTCTAGACTATAAAACATTTTTTTTAAAAGTTTATACCAACTGCTTCAAGTAATACAGTGAAGTGATGCATGTGTTATATCTGTGGTGGTCTGGGAAAACCCATCAGTCGTTGCTGTGGCTGAATTCTGGCAAATTCATTCATGCAAAACATTTTTTCATCACCTCTACTGAAGAAAACATAAATATATTTCACCGAAAGGATGCAGAAATGTTGTTATTGTTCCTTGCCTATATTTTGTGCATGCAGAGATACTAGGTAAATAACACTAGGTAAATAACGAGCCAGTTTAACAAACACGGCTGTAAAAACAGACAGTCTGCCTAAAAAAGTAAAAAATAAAAATAAAAAATTTGCTAGCTTGCTAGCTAAGCATGTATTATCACACATTGAATAGCATGCTTTGATCAAGTTGTTGGTTATGTGCCAGAGGAAAACAGACAGAATCAATACCAGCTGTCAAATTACTGGCTATGCACAAGTACGGAACTTACACTGTCAAAATGGTAGAGGACAAAATTGTAATTTTTAAGCATGAATCAAAAATGAGGAGAAATTTAGCTAACAGAACAAAACTCACAGTGAAGCTTTCAGAACCAGTGTAAGAGCAAACAGTGATCAGTTGAGTGACTGACTTTTACCTCAGGAATTATTTACCACAAATTTAATTAAATGCAAATTAAATCAATAAATATTAGTTGCATTTAGACAATCAATGTGTTGGTGTCTTTCAGTGGAATTGGAATGAAATCTTTAGATACATTTTTCTCCCTTTTCACTTCTGGAGGTAAAAAGATTTTTAAATTGCTATAACTTTGCATTTTGTGTGAAGTGCAAAAGAGAACCATATTTCAGTCAAACAAAGTCTGTATTTTCAGAGCTATATATAGTAGAATATGTCAAAATTTCACCATGTGAAGGGTATTCCCAGGCCGCCACACGTATTTGCTAGTGGGTTTTTTTGGTAGGTAACTTCAGCAAGTTCGAGAAGGTTATGAGAGCTTGGCGCTAAAGTAACGTTAAAAATTCCATAGCCAGGCAAGGCGAAATTTGTATACAGTATAGCACATGTCATAGTCCGCACATATACAGGACGCTGTGTGTTTTTCCTGTAACACGTGTTTATGTGTAATGAGGCAGGCGAGAGGAGCGTGTGTGAACGCAGGACCCTGCCCCCAGCCAGCACGCCCTGCCCGCAAGTGGCATGAGATCGCTCGCCATTGGCTCGGTGTGACACGCCGCCACCGGACCAGCGGGGGGTGCATCCTGGTAACAAATGCACAGGCCACGCCCACTTCGTCTAACAGTAGATTAGAAGTGAATGAGCTCTTCAGAATTAGATCTTAGAGTAGCTTGGAGTAACTCTCCTCTCTTGGAGGATCACAACACTGCAGAGCTTAGTGTTTTCCTTGATTGACAATTGGCAGAGGCTTTTATCTCATCATAAACGATACGGTGCCATGGCCAAGTGTCCCACCATGGTTCTCAGCCTGACCTGGGGTTTGAACCTTAACCACTGAACAAAGAGAGCAATGCAGCAGCGCTTTAGTCATTTAGTCTGTCCAGGCAGCTCTTGCTTTTTTGTTTTTAGGAGCTAAAAGAGAAACCTTTTTAAGTTCTTATTAAACACCACTGTAACTGCAGTAGCAATGTCCCCCTGTGACATCAGCACAGCAGACAACTGCTAACTTCTCACTGGAATAACAAAAATACAGCACCACCCAACATATTAGCACCAGAAACACTAAACACATCACACTTATTTCAATATAAACATATTTAATGTATTTCAGGGTGGAGTTTTCCATTAAGTTTTGTGGTTGAGTTCAAATCCCAGCCCTTATCCCTGTGCCCATCTTGGTGCTTGGATTGGATTCTGTCTCACTCAGCCCTTTTGAATAAAAGCATCAGCCAAATGAATGAATAGATACTAAACTCTGCAGTGATCCAGGTTTATGAAGATATAATAAATCAGGCCAACAATATCCTGATTCTGAACTGAATCTCATTCTGACTGTGTTTACAGTCATGGTACATCCATATGCTCTTCAGATAGAGACTGGAGCAGAAATAGTTGATTGCTGATGTGTTACATCAGAGAACAGAACCTGAATGCCCTTTCATTAATTTATGGGTAACACTTTACTATAAAGTCCACAAATAAGCAATATACAAATACTTAACTAATGCTTTAATAATAATGAATTAATACATGAACTAATCCTTAGCACATCAGGAAATAATGAAGTGTATACATACATTAAGAGCCAACTGAGACGTATATGAACAGCCATTAATAATAGTAATAATTAAGTATTAAGCATTAAATAACATCTTGTTAACTCATTTACATTATGAAAAGTCTTTTTGGAAACAGTCTAGGTCAGGGGTGTCCAATCTTATCCGGAAAGGGCCGGTGTGGGTGCAGGTTTTCATTCCAACCAAGCCAAAGCCACACCCGAGTCTACTG